TCCCCACTCCAGCCACTGCAGACTTACTCCCCCGGCTCAGGATGTCAGCACTATCGGGGTTAAAAATAATATATTGCCTAAAAGTTATCTTTATCATAGCCGACATAGAACAAGAATAGTCATCAAAAAGCTACATTGACTCCTAGTTCCATGAGTGCATTCAGCTTCTACAGAATTTTACAGGTCATGAGTTAAATGCCCCAAATCAGGCAAGACCTTTCAAACTGCAAAGACATGTTAAAGCATTCGAATGCATTTCAATAGAGAATAATTACTGCATTTTGCAGAGCACTTTATGCTGATCTGTAGGAGTCATAAGAGACATTAAGGCAAAGGCAGTGCTCAATTTTGGCATGAACTTTGCATGACAAAGAAGATCTTTCAGAGTTTCCCCATATAGCTAGTGTTTCCTTTCTAGTCCTGCACCAGCTGGCGGGGGAGGGGAGAGGGAAGGAAACCATCCTGGTAAATAGCAGCATTGCATATCTTTCCAGTTTGCCCTTTGCCTTTTTGAATATTTCTCTTGGGGACTTGCTTCAGGTTTACACCTCCTATGTAATGACAGCCTGCAGAGGTGCAACTGCCATTAGTAACCTGCCCCCTGCAATCCCATTGCACCCACCATAGAAAAGAAGCATTCAACCTCCCACTCTATGGTCCTCAAACTTTAAAAAAGAAATTACAGGCACGCAGAAAGTCCCTGTCCACTCACTCAACCCCCCAATACAGGGGGGCTATCATATGGGGAAATAATTGGAAGACATTGTACCATTGTTAAGGGAACCACAGAGTGGGAAGAGAAGATGGGAACAGTATTCCAAATTGTGGGAAAAGAAACTGTTGATCATTGTTGCACGGAGGTGAGGAGAGGGACAACAAGTAATTATGTATTTTTCTGGTTTCCCTCAACACCTGTACTGGCACAAAGAGGGAAGGTATCACCCACAGAGAGGCTGTCGAATCGCCGAAAGAAAAAGAAAAGCTAGAGACAATCTGTCCCATGAAGTATTCACTTCACTTAGAATCATAGAATTCATAGAATCATAGAATATCAGGGTTGGAAGGGACCCCTGAAGGTCATCTAGTCCAACCCCCTGCTCGAAGCAGGACCAATTCCCAGTTAAATCATCCCAGCCAGGGCTTTGTCAAGCCTGACCTTAAAAACCTCTAAGGAAGGAGATTCTACCACCTCCCTAGGTAACGCATTCCAGTGTTTCACCAGCCTCTTAGTGAAAAAGTTTTTCCTAATATCCAATCTAAACCGCCCCCACTGCAACTTGAGACCATTACTCCTCGTTCTGTCATCTGCTACCATTGAGAACAGTCTAGAGCCATCCTCTTTGGAACCCCCTTTCAGGTAGTTGAAAGCAGCTATCAAATCCCCCCTCATTCTTCTCTTCTGCAGGCTAAACAATCCCAGCTCCCTCAGCCTCTCCTCATAACTCATGTGTTCCAGACCCCTAATCATTTTTGTTGCCCTTCGCTGGACTCTCTCCAATTTATCCACATCCTTCTTGTAGTGTGGGGCCCAAAACTGGACACAGTACTCCAGATGAGGCCTCACCAATGTCGAATAGAGGGGAACGATCACGTCCCTCGATCTGCTCGCTATGCCCCTACTTATACATCCCAAAATGCCATTGGCCTTCTTGGCAACAAGGGCACACTGCTGACTCATATCCAGCTTCTCGTCCACTGTCACCCCTAGGTCCTTTTCCGCACAACTGCTGCCTAGCCATTCGGTCCCTAGTCTGTAGCGGTGCATTGGGTTCTTCCGTCCTAAGTGCAGGACTTCATCACGATAGAGGGCCCACAGGCAGAGCTGTGGAGGGACGGTCTCCTGGCACATCCTCAAAAGATTGAAATGGAGCACATGGCCCCGAAGAGGGGACAGGATGCAGATAATGCAGAAGCAGAGAGCTGTGATGGAGAACCTTTTGATACAAAGGTTGAGCATTTCACCCCGACATTCCAATGCCATGCAGAGCGTAGAGGACAACCGCACTGGGACCACCACTTCAATCAGCCAAGTGACAAGTCCTTCCTGCTGCGTTCAACCCCACAAGAGCTAGAGGAAGGAGAATCTTTTCAAGCACATCATCTACAGGCGTTTGTGAGAGCCCCTTCACGTGGCCATGCCTGAATATCGTTGTTCTGAAGTTTGCACTGCATGCTTTAAGTGTTTTTATTTTTAGTGAAGCACTATTACCTTTGTTTTCTGTAAATGCAATAAATGCATTTTGTAACAACTTGACTGAAAATCTTCACTCAGGAATAGCTCCACCCATAAATGGCATAACAGCCACCATCCCATGCTATTAATTCATAATAAAAATCAAACCAACACACATTTTATTGCTTGCAGCATATTCAGTAGCCACAAGAACCCCTGACACTGAGAACAATGCATTCCTGGCCCTGATCCCTTGATGACGTGGCCAATTTTGCCTGGGCTGCCCATAATGTTGAGAAAGTTTCTCTAGTTCCTGCTCCCATCCATCCTCCAGGATTTCTCCCTTCATCTGACAGATGTTGTGCAAAATACAGCAGGTACTTATCACAGAAGGCACATAGTGGTAAGAAACATCCCACCTCTTCATGACACACCTCCATCCACCTCCAGCAGCGCAAAAGCATGCTCCACTGACATTCTGCAAATACTCAGGGTAAAATGTAAACCTCTCCTTTCTCTTGTCCAAGTGCCCACTGTCAGGCTTCCCAAGCCAGGGGAGCAGAGGATAGGTTGGGTCTCCCTGTTTGAAAATGGTACTGGCAATATGAATGGGTGCCAAGAAAGGTATCATAGGACTTTGTTAATTTGACCCCAAGTCTCTGAATTCCTGTAGCTTCTGCTATGCATCCTAGAATGCCCCTTGCAAAAACACAGAGTGCAGAGCAGAACAGTGCACCTTGGAGTATCCACCCAGAATGCCAAGCAGTTCATTTGAACTAATGCAGAATTGTGCAGATGCAGTGATTAATATGAAATTACCATACTGAAGTGGTGTGGAAGCACTTTGGTTTGCTAGAAATACATTGCTGCATTTAGATGGAACAAACTACACTGGTTAGAAATGCCATCAGTAATCTTGTCACATATCTGTGTATCCTGTTAGGGAGGTATGAATGTAGAGAAACAGTACTATACAACGTTGGACATACTGTGTGGTAAAGGGACAGAATGAGGCATATTAAAAATGGTATTCATACAGGAAATTTAAGATCAGATGGGATTTGTGTATATAGTATACAGTTTCTGTAAGCTCAATGTAATGATTATTTCTGATGTAATTTTCAATAATACATATAAGGGGCTCACCAACTTTGGGTGGAATGTAGGTAAGTTTGGGGTGTAAGTAATGCCCCACGTCATACAGGACATTGGAACATATGTCTATACTGTTGTTGAGAGGTGTGATTTCCAGAGTGGGTGGGCAGATTTACACCAGCTGTCTACCCATGGTGGGAATCACATCTCCCAACTGCAGTGCAAACATACCCTGAGAGGCTTGTATGGGAAACATATAGACACTTCTGAGTATTTCACAGTGATTAGAATTCAACTCTGAAATAAACTGGTTCCTTATCTCAGAACATGCTGTTAAAAAGGTCTTTCACTGGTCCACCATCAAATATTAAAAACTTGTATCTGTCTATAACCTTTGTTCCCCTGTGTTGGGATTGGAGTCATTACTACAGCGTTATTCTATCACTGCTATGGAAGAGAGGCAAATGAGCTGGCTATATTTAAAAACAAAACAAAACTGTGAGCAGTTTTATTTACTGCTGGCTTCAAAATACTTAATATTGCAGCTTTAAATCTTTAACTGTTACGGTGACATGCCAGGAAGTGAGTTTTATGGCAGCTCTTTGTTCTAGTGACTTAAGAGTAGTCTGAAGTGAAGAGAGTACTTTTATTATTTGTCAACAACCAGAGTAAAGATGTTTTTCAACAACACTAATCAGCAAGCATGTTTTCCAAAGTGAGCATTCCCAGCACACCGGCTAGTACTTCTCAGACCCCATAGCCCTTCTTTGTCCAGTATTTATAATGGCGCATAGCATAGCAGTCAAAACTTTCTCAACTGTAGCCCTAGACAGTGCAATTGCACTTTTTCTTTAGTCTTCTCTTGTGGCTGCAGATGTGTTAAAAGGGAGCAGAGCCAGACACTCAGCACAATGCAGAAACAATGTCACGTTTCATCTGAAAGGGCAGGATTTGATGGGAACTATCCTGGACAACCAAGCATGGGTAGATAGTGGTCAACACGTCTCATGGAGACTAGCAGCCAAGGGATAAACCGCAGTCTAGGACTTTACCCTGTAATCACAGTGCAGACTACATGTGAAAATGGTTTGGTCATTACTGTTATAATGGTATAATTACGGCAGATTTATCTCTTAAGTTGTTGCTGCTCCCTCTTTTATTACTGCTGTGCAAAGACAGACGATTCAAACTGTGTTGGAACTATGCCTAAGCGGATTTATACTGTAAACAATGCTTTGTTGACGACATTTCTTCCCAGTGCTTTCTAGATGCATCTTAAATAGGTAGAAAAGTAGTGTTCAAGTGGCTATTGTTTCGATTTTTCTCCTGGCATTATTAACTCTTTCAGCTTCCCACACTGCCTCAAAGCAAGGAGCTTTTCTTTCCATCATTTACAACTTCAAATTCTTCAGAAAAATTGTAATAATAGCAGGCATGCTTTATTTCGAAATCAATTTGTTTTTCCTGGTATTGATTTTAATTCCAATGGTTTTCTTACTTTAATTTAGTTTTACGGAGGGGGCTGCTAAATCTGCACATTTCAGTGAATTCGAGTTTAGCCGTCAGACATTCGTGCACTCCATAACAACTACAAAAGAGGCTGGGGCTTTAGACCAGTACGATGTTAATTCCTGTGTATGTGGTGAATGGAGAAGAGTAACATAAACTGATTGATTTAACTGGCTTCAATAATCCTTTTATCAGGGTACACAACAAAAACTCTATCAAAGCATTTTGGAGCTATTTAATGAAAAAAGCAGAATTTTATTATGTGATTTCTGTCCATTATTTGGCATTGCTGTAAATGGTTCACATTTACTGCAACTTCTGTACAGATGTGTGGTTTTGTATTACCAGAACAGCAAATTTAAATGAAAAATAAATGTTCAACAGTTCCACACAAGATTTTACAGTCCAACATTTCACTGAGTAGGTGAAAACTACAGAATTGTTACTACAGAATTATTCAGCATGAATAAAAAACTACAACTTTTATTTTTAAACAGGAGTCACTGGTTTTAATTTTTACACTGTTTAAAATTACTGTGATAAAAAATAATGAAAAAAGCTTTTTAATATGCCATACACCAGTATAATATAGGATCTGTCCCCATTATATATCTTTTGTTTAATATACAAAATAGAATAATGACACACTGTTGAATCTATGCTGTTAAGCAATGAGTTTAGGGTTGGGGTATATTTTCATACACACAGCCTTTTATCAGAAGTAAAACCCTCCAAAAATGTTTTTTTTAAAAAAAAGCTGTTGTAAAGAGGCTCTATTCCTATCCTGAAAAATTGGTTCCTATGTGACATCAATGGTGCATCAATACCTGGCTTTGGACTTGACAAATGGTGGAGCTTGTAACCATTCAGCTAGTATTGACTACAATCCTTTTAAACATTCTCTTATTGGGTTGGCTCCTGCAGTCCTAACTCACACAAACAGTTCCACTGAAGTGTGGCTACGGGAAACAGGATTTGGGCTACTGCTGCTCACTGCTCCAGGCACTTTCTCCTCCTCCTCGCCCATTCTCAACACTTAATTTTTGTGAGACTACAGAGGCTATTATTTAAGCTAGGTTGGCACTTAGTCCCATACTCTTCCTCTCTTACCAGTTGCAAAGTAGATTCTAAGCAGAATTTTGTTTTACAAAAACACTGTACAAGATTAAAGTTCCTCCTCTCTCCATCCCATGCCCTGGCTTATCCTATGTAAGGCCATTCCTTTCAGTTTCCATGTGCAATTATAACATACAGCATGTATCTCTAGGGCCGTCCAAATGTCCCTTTGTCAGATGTATGCATTATGTGATAAGGCACTGAAGAGACAGAAATCAGGATTCTCTCTGCTTTATCTAAATTGTAGGTTTTTCCCAGTGCTAAAAGACTAATCGTGCAGGGAACATGTAAAATTTCACTGCTTGCTAAATGATTACATATTTAAAACGGTGTGGGTTTAAGACTTTAACAGCACATACAGAATGAATTCTCTCTTCCGACATCACAGTTTCTTCTTTTCTTTGAATCCATAACTGAAGAATGAATATATCGGCACACAGATCAAAGGGGTTAGAGCCTCTTTCCTTTGAAGTACTTATTCTCACAAGGTAACACTATTTTGTTCACGTACATTTTGGTTACTTTTCTACTGGCAAACAAATAACAGCACATACCTTTGTCCACACACACTATGAAATTTCTTGAGAGCTCGAATTGAGGTATCGGGGACTAAAGTGAGAGATTAATGCATTGGAGTGTCTCAGATTAACTTTTAGACCATTCTCTGAAATAAGAACAGTTTTCAAGCTCATCCTTTTAATTAAAGAGCCCTTTTTTAGAGCAAACACTATGAATCTCCTAACTGTACCTCAAACAGCATAAATATTTTTATCCAGTTGGGTTGCCAATGATAGTTAAAATACTTTTTGAGGTTTCGTTTAACTGTTACAAAATGTACATATTCTTTAGAGATCATTCAGAGAGAACAGAATGATTTTTTTAAATTAAATTTGATATTTTACTCCAAAGTACTGAATACATCTTTTTAATAGGTATAGCATTCAAAAAAAGATGTAAGAAACGACAAAAATGCAGTTTCCTATGTCAATTGGAAACAAACTTTTGCTGATCAACACAAATGTATAAGTGTATTGTGAACAACCTATGCTCTATATTTACATATTGCTGGTACCTGTATGCATATTATTGCCAAATTTTTCAAACTGTTTTTGCTATCCCGTGTGAGGCTGTATATGACATTAACCCCATAAGTTCATACATCTTTTCAGTTTACATTTTTTGCAGTGGAGTCAAGTAAACCTACAAAGTCTGAAGATTTACTATTGGAATGTGAAGGGTAACCAAACATGGGCTCCAAGTTCCAAGCTGTGGTTCTATACAGTGATCTAATGAATGTAAATTTCAGCCCTAGGAACAACTCACTCAGCATGGGTTTCTTCCTTTAAAAAAAGTATCTAACACCTTTGCTGCCAGTATTAATACTTCCAGAAAAACCACACTTTGTATGGGTTACCATTCAGCATATTTGTGACCCCTACCAAAACTATAATCATGTGTCATGATAAAGCAATCTGTCATCTAAAAATCACTTATTATACACTATACAAGCTATTTAACAATCATTCAATAAATTGCTTTTTAAGCTGCAGTAGCCCTTTCCTTCTTTGCTTAGATTAGTGAATATACCAATTACATATATTTGAAACTACAACTAAATATAAAAATATATTAGAGATTTCATATTTTATCAATTAGATTTTTTCCCCATTTTCTATTACACAAATAATTGGGCCACTTTGAATAAAAATCTAATTTCTGGGTAGCTTAGTAAGTATTTAAATTATGCTTATACAGAAAGTTGTTAAGGTGCACACAGAAAGGGCTACTACAGCTTCTAAACTATTTAAAACATCATTATCAATGGTGACAAGAAGTTCACAATACATATGGTAATTTTATGGCACACTAGTAATTTGACATGAAGGGATGCAGCCTTACAAAGACAGAAGTCTGACATACAATTCTAAACTACAAAATCAGTAGCGGAACCTTCCTGCTCTCCGGGAAAAGAAGATGAACCAATCAGTGACAGATGAAAGTGTGAAAATGGGTGACTAACCACACTCAGGTCTGAGGTCTGTATACCCAGCAAGTTACAATGTGTCAGTACAGTTGGTCTGTTTTACGGTCTGCTTAAAGGTAAAGGTCTAATTGAAGAAAACCCTTCAAGAACCAATACAATATTAAAAAAATACTCGGGCATCATTACAAGTCGGTCTCATAGGCCAATAACGGGTTTTCTACAAGAACTTGTAGGACGAGACATTTATGTGCCTGGAAAACGTGAACTTCTCCACGCACAACTATTTTTTTTAAGCTATGCGTATTTTTGTGAAAGTTTCCTGATGGGCAGTCAGGACTGATCTTGACATCGATGCAGCCCAAGACTACTGCACATATGGCTGTTGTATGGTATGCAAAAATCGGTTTAGCTTTTTGTATAAAATAACCCGCTCGTTCGCATCCAGTTAGGACTGGGCTAATTTTCTATGATCTGTATATGCAACACATTTTCACATATACCAAAAATGTGTGTTTCATTCATGTCTACTTGGGTTAGATTTGAGCATACTCTCCCCTCCACCCTAAAAAAACCCAAAAACAACAACAAAAAAACCAAGCCAAATTTTTATGGTCATCTTGACAATTAAAGCAATCAGGTTAGAAAAGCCAACCCATTTTCACATGAATATGCTCAAGGATTAATGGCTAGAGGTCATTTAGGAAAGCTACAAGCTGCCCCACCTTAAAAAATAGTTGTACAATAGGCATCTTGAAGTATTACAAAAAATTATGTAAGAAAAAATGAGCAAGCCTAGTTCACGGTATATAAAGTTAAAGGAAATTGCTAAAACCAGACAGTAATAGCTATAAAAGGCACAACTTCCCTTTTCTGATATACACTTGTAAACTTTCTTCAGGTTACATGCATAAATCAAAATGCTATCTTAACTATACAAAAAACCCAAACCATTTTACTGGAAAACAAACCACCAGAAAATGGTACCCAGCCAACTGCAGCAATTACTAGCAGGATGCTCGTATATCAGCCTCGGATCTTGACACCAGTAGTTTTGGTGCATCCACTGGGGGGGTGGAATCCAATTCCTAGCACGTAAGGGTTAATTACCTTTCCTTTCCTCTCCCTCCTCATTCTAATCATCCAATGTGAGCAATCTGCTGCTTCCGTAGCTTAAGTCTTGGCCCTCTGTAAACCACATGTAGTGCATAATTACAAAAGAAACACCGTTGCAAGACAAAATTAACAAGTCTGATAGTTTGTACAAAAAAAGCTATAGTTTGACTTTTTCTTAAGGCAATCTTTTCGTATTAAGGCAGTCACTTTTGATGAAATAAGAGTTTCTTGATATTTCCATTTGAATATTTTGGTATCTGATTGCTGATGATTTCTGCCAACATCTCTGGGAACTCAATACTCATGGATTTATCCAAAAATGTCTGGAAGCAAAAGCTTAGAAGATTTTCAACCACCTACAATTGATAAAGAGAAGATTTAGTCTCAGGCTAATGCACAGAGGAAAAAACACTGCTTTGGTACTGTACTTCTTCACTGTTATTCATATTTTGCTGTAATGGGGGGTCTTATAAATACCACTCTAAAACACAACATATTTGAAAACTTAGCTAAAACATTCATACCTAAAGGCTGTAATGTTATATTGACTACTGTGTCATTCTGTAATGACATACATAAAATGATAGGATAAAAACACTATAATAGATTTTAGAACATTTTTGTGTTATTCTATTTTAAAAGAGACACAATCAACTTTAAATCTAGTCAGTTTCAAAACACGAGTTAGAAGTAGTTTCATGTACTATACTACACTTGTCCCTGAGACTGTCTGCCAAAATTCTGTGAAATGCACAAAGTAAATAAACTAAAAAACAACAAAATTCTCTAATCATTTTCTATTAATCTTCTTAGGTGTTGCATATAAAAAGACAAAAAAATACGCTTGATATTTTTAAGCTGACAGTGTCCCATTAACACCTATTTTTTACAAAAACTTCAGGAGAACAAAATATTTTATCTTAACCATTTTAAGTGGTCTGATAAGTTCAGGTTCTACGGGCACAGTACCTTTCCACAAACTTATCTATACAGAACATGTACAGTGCACATTTAAAAAAAACTTACATCATGCATGGAGTCCAAAAGTTTAGTCAGTTGATAAAATCTCTGCCAGTTCTGGCTCGAGTTCCCCTCTCTCTTCACTATGGCTTTCCCCAACTCTTTGATATACGTCATACGAATCTCATCAAACAGAGCCTGACTCTTCAGGCCCTCCTTGGGAACTGAAACATTGAAATTAACTTTTGAGATGTTACAGATCTCAGCTGGTTCTACTATACATGTGGTTATAAAAGTGCTCTTTTCACACTAATTCCACTTACATTTTAATATGTTCCTGGGCCTAAGCAGGACTTGTCCTGCAATTGCACTTCCCAACATCTCTGGGCCATCTGAGGTACAAATCTGGGCACCTAAACTGAGGGTAGGGAGCCTCTCTTTTCTGTGCTCTGAAAGCTTCTTCCCCTGGTGAGCTCAGACAGCCTGGATGAGGCAGCTGCTCGATTAGAATGCAGAGGAGATAAGAACTGGAAAGGGGTGGGGTGGGGGTGGGGGTGGAGAGTAGATTAGGGAGAAAGCCTGGGAGTGAATTAAGGAGCTGGTGGAGGGAAGACTGGGGCAGACAGGGCAACGAGACTGGAAATGGAAAGGAAGGAAGAAGGGGCAGACGAGACTGTACAAGGAATGGTAGATGTGAAAGGGGGCATAGGAGCCAGTATGGGGAGTTTGGGACTGGTATCCAGTGAAGTGTGGGAAAGGCGGTGGAGGTAGGAGAGGAGACAGATCAGACAGGGAGGTGTTTGTGACAGGAGAACTGGGACTGGCTGGGCAGAGCCTGGGACAAGGAGAACAATCATCTTTGAAACATTTTTACAAAGTATCTCATTCCCCTCTAGTGATGGTCCACACAGAGGATGACAACCTACTACTGCTATCAGTTATTCCATAAGTTCATGGGACAGATATCTGCATGGTGAATTTAAATGTCCCAACCTGCTGATGACCCATGTATGTGTCAATATGATGCCATATGATGGAATACAGTTTTTCCAGTTTGTTTTTCAAAAACCTAAGAAATTTTATATGCCCTCCCCCCGCCCCAAACCCTCCTCCACTGGTAAAAGAGATTTATGAAGACTACAAAGTCAAGCACTCAAAAGTTAGGAAATGCTAGAGTTAAGGTTGTCTGTGGAAGCTTAATTTTGCCTTCTTGCAGAAACGCATCATGATACTATCTTTAATTATATGAACACACACTATTTTTTCCACACAAACATTCCCTCATTCAGTGCACAGTCTGGATCCCCTCCATGGATGAATGAGAGACGTGTAGTGAAGAAAATGGTTGCCTGTATGACCCCTGCCTCATGCGTTTACAGAAGTTGGAAGATGTAAAATGAATGAGACAGGAACCGCAGGAAGAGAAAGGATGGTCTCACAGTCAAGGTAGCTGAATGCTGCCCTGGATTCTATCCCTACTTCTGTCACAGAATCCCAGTGTGATGCTAGGCAAGCCACTTAAACCAGTCTCTTCACAGGTGGTCACTAACTGGTGATCATTTCTGGGTACCTGACTAGAAACCCTGTGGTCTGATTTACAGAAGTGCTTATCATTTGCAATTGAAGTCAATGAGAGCTGTGCCTTGAACATACAAAGTGCTATGTAACAAGCTCTAAACATCAGGTTGTAGGTGTCTCAAAGTGGATACTTTTGACCTTAATCCTCTCTGTACGACATCTGTAAATTGGGGCTAATGCGCCCCTCATCTCACAGGTGTTCTGCGAAAATAAATTAATTACTGTTTGTGAAACACTGAGATACTGTAGTCATGAGTGCAAGAGAAAAGCCCAGAAAGTTAATAATTCTGTCTTCAGAGCAGGGTTTGAATCGTGTAGAGCAAATAAGACATAGGGCCACACATAGAACAGAGAGAACAACAAAACATTGAAATAGTGGCACATTAAGTGAGTTCTGTACCATTCTGTGCACTGAATGAGGTAAGAGTCCTGAAGGAAAACGAAAGACTATCATAATGCATAAGCACAAGGGAGCCAAATTATGGTCGCACAGTGCACTTTAATACTGTCATCTCCTAGCTTCTGAGGACTTGACTTTGCAACCTTACTATTCTTTTAACAGTTTTTTGTGTTTTATTATACAGAGGGACCACGTAGTTATATGTCCTACTATTCAAAACATATTATAGTAGCATCCATGAACCCCAAAAAGATGAGCCCCATTCTATAAGGTGCTGCACAGCCACATATGAAGGCATCATATCTGTCCCTTACAAACGAGCATACAAATCTGTAGTCAAACTCCTAAAGTTCATGAAATGTGGATAACTTACCATCAATGTCATATGTAAGTAAAACAAAAAACACGAGCCCAAATTATCCCCAAGCACAAATTCACATGCAGCAAGGGAGATCTTTGTCTCAGTTTGAATCACTGTTGCTTTGTGGGTTATTGTACATGGGATAAGAGAAAGTACTGTTGCCTTCTCCCAATCTTGAATGATGATTCTGATTTGAAAAAGTTTTCTCAGAGGCCAAAAATTCTCAAGCAAAAGTTCTTTTGACAATGTTACCCTAAGTCTCAGTTTGAGAAGTGAAAAATCAATGAGACTTGGGTGCTTTTGAAAATTTACCTTTGGCCTGGGGTTTGAAGCAGATTCTTTATTTTGTATAGAATAGCAGCAAATGCATCATCTATAGAATGGTGTCTAGAGAATTAAGAAATGACTTGGTGTAACACCCCCCAAAATTTGTGTTGTATATCCAAAAAATTCGAGGAGTTTAAAGAGAGCTGTCAGATGGCTGTCTCATAACTTCAGTTTCAAAGGCCCCACAATACATGTAGAAGTGTGGAGCTGAGACATTATGAATGCTTCCTTTCAAAAGAACCTTTGTCCCAGTTTTTGGGTTCGGAAGGCAAACGCTGCACTAGGGTCCTCTGTCAGGACACTGAGGGAAACTACTCATGGAATAGCTTGGAATTTTGCACACTGAAGATTCTTACTTTGTGATCTTGAAACAAACTTGCATGGATGTACAATAGTTTGAACATATAGGCTGCAATATCTTACCACTGAATAGTTCAATTTAATAATATATCCAGTTACAATAATCAGAAGTACAGTTTCCTTCAATAGCATGATGCAGTCATGTTGGAAGAGTAGCATTTTTGCACAGTGCTCAGTAAGAAACTCAAACTTTGAGCTTTAACTCTGTGTGAGATGTCTGCCATACCATCAACCTAATACACACATACAATCTCATGATCTTGCAAGATTCATTCTTCACACAGATTTTGTAACTGGCCACTTACTTGTAGAGAGAAGCAGCAAGGTTTTCATGCAGAGATATTCTTCATATGACACTTGAAGCCGTGATAGCTCATTGGCAACCATAAGCATATGTTTGCATTGGTCATACATACAGGGCAAATTCATTCTCTGCCTGAAAAATAACAGCATAAAAATCAATTAAGTAAAATCCTACGGGTGTAAAAAAAAATAAATCCTATTGTATGCACTAAAGTTTCAACAGAAGAATCTTCACTTTCAACAACTGGTGAATTCATTTGTGACTATTGTTCTGCTAATTGGATCTAGAGAATGGCCTGAAAGTGAAGGGGGAATAAAGTATTAAAATCCCACTTTGTATGCTGACAGACAAACCCAGTTTCACAACAGAAGCTTATTTAAGCCAGGCCATGCATTCAGTAACCTAGCAGTCCTACTGGTTGCCAAAAGACAACTTTTGAGATTTCACCACCATCCTGAGGTGACAAACAGATTTTCAGATTGAGTAGCTTTGCGACAGGTTTCTCTTCCCAAAACCGGCAGTCCTACAGATTTAACAGTGTGATCCACTGGCTACAGTGAAATGAAATGAAATGACACACTAAGCTGGGATTTTCAAATGGGTCCAAGGGAGTGAGGTGTCCATATCCCACTGAATTTAATTGGGCACCTTGCTCCTTTAGGCTCCCAGGCCAAACTACCAATCTGTTCACCACTAATGACACCATTACATCTTTTTAGAACAACTTCCCCAGTTATAGCTTAGCCTTCAAAGCTACTTTATTACTAGTCTTGCATCCTGTGATGTTCTCAAAGAGGTCCCAAATCTAGCAGATAAATTTTAATACACATAATCAGGTTTCTAAACATGGTTTAGAAAGTGAAGATGAAAAGCACCAGGCTAGAATCAGTTTGGCTGACACACTATGTTTATGCATTATGATAGACCCAGGCCAGTTGGGTACAACAGAGTAGCAGAAGGCAGATATACTGGCCACTGGATTAGCAGTTTTCTGTTCCCTGACTGACCAGAACAGGGGCTGCTCCAGGCTAATGAGAACACCTGACTCCAATTAACCTGCAAGGAGTCAGGTGAGGCCAGTAAGTTAATGTGAACACCTGACTCTAATTAAGGCCCTTCTGATACTATAAAAGGGCGCACTCCAGTCAGGCTGAGGAGAGCTAGGGGAGAGAAAGTGTGGCTGAAAGGCTGAGTAATGAAGATATCCTCAAGCCATCAGTAAGGGAGCCCTAAGGTAAGGGTGAAGAAGAGAGAAGCAGGAGAACTGTGGGAAAGTGCCTCAGGGAAATGTAGCAACTCTGGCAGTGAAAGGTCGGCTGCCAACAGCTGCTACCATTAGGCTCCTTGGGCCGGAACCCAGAGTAGAGGGTGGGCCCGGGTTCCCCCCCAACCCGCCACTACAGAAACACCTCCTGGAGGGGAAGATAGGCCCCTGTCAGGACAGGAGGCTAAAATGTTCTGGAATAAGCCCCTAGGGACAACAGAGACTGTGGGAGTTCTCTCACCAACCTCCTTGCTGGCTTTTGATGAAAAGGGCTCCATAGACTGTAACCCTGGCCCTAGAGAGAGAAGGGCTATGTGGAGGGTTGCAGTGAGCCTCTGAGGCTAGCATAAACACCTGGAAGCGCGGGACCCACGGGGACAAGGTCGGAGCTCTGTCGCAGCATTTATCTTCTCACTCATTCTCCATGTCTAATGCAGTCGTTCCCAAACTTGTTCCGTCGCTTGTGCGGGGAAAGCCCATGGCGGGCCGGACTGGTTTGTTTACCTGCCGCGTCCGTAGGTTCGGCCGATCGCGGCTCCCAGCGGCTGCAGTTCGCTGCTCTAGGCTAATGGGAGCTGCTGGAAGTGGCGTGGGCCGAGGGACGTACTGGCCGCCACTTCCAGCAGCTCCCGTTAGTCTGGAACAGCGAACTGCGGCCGCTGGGAGCCGCGATCGTCCGAACCTGGGAATGCGACAGGTAAACAAACCGGCCCGGCCCGCCAGGGGCTTTTCCCGCACAAGTGGTGGAACAAGTCTGGGAACCACTGGTCTAATGAAATCTGCGTCAGGATGGGAAATCTCCTTCTTAACCATCCTGTTTAGTTTTCCACCTAGCAATTACAATTAATTGCTGTGAATATGGCTCTCACAGGATTACAACTTCAGGAGGGGAACAAGAACCAAGACCACATCAACTCTGAAAGTGGTGGGAAGGAGAGGAATAGAGGCTGCATTCATGCAAATTGTTGGTGGGGGGGAAAAAAAAAGGTGGGAGAAGATAAACAGAAAAATGATAGTACACAAGGTGAATTGTTTCAAATACAGTGATTTTCTAATTTTTCAATGAGGTGTTAGCATGCTTTTTTTTTAAATATTAAATGTAGTCTCCCTTAACACAGATCTTACTCTATTACTTTTCAATTTATAATCCAAGAGCTTCAATATAACCTTACTCCTGAGGGAATTCTGCGCCACTGCGCAAGTGCAGAATTAATGTCCTCCCCACAGATTCTCCCCCTGCAGAATAACTGATTCTGACAGGGAGGCAAAGGAAAGCCGTGAGAGGTGTCACACCGCAATTACCCTTTTTGCCCACCAGAGGCTGATGTGGCACCAGAAGAGAGGGCAGCTGGCTGGCTCTTGGCCCAGAGCAGCCAGCCGCAGAGAGGGCCAGGTGAAGAGGCATGGCATGTGAGGGGGGAGACAGACTGGGGTTCAAAAGAGCTAGTAGGGGGGACAGACTGGGGTGGGGGCACAGAAGCTAGTGGGGTGACATCGAGCCAGGGGTTGAATGGAGTAGGGGTGCAGGGACCCATGGAGACATGGACAGCTATGCCTGGCTGAGTGGAGGTACAGACCCACATGGGGACTGGGGCATTTGTGCCTGGATGAATGGGAGAGGCTAAGGGTCAGCCAGGGTCTGCATGGGGGAGGCTCCCCATCTCCCTAACAATCCTCCGTCAAAAACCTGTTGTTGGGTATGGGTAGGAGACACACACAACTCTCCAGGTCCACTCCCAGGCTCCTTCCCAGCAATTATGTCCCTCTCCCTCTGTTACCCCTGTCTTCCCCAAGCTTTTGCACTGCTTCTGAGGGGTGCAGGAAATATGTTTCTGCATTACAGTTTAAATGAATTACTACTCGAAGTTCTGTAGTAATATGCCTAGTAAGGAATCTATTTTGCTGTCTGCATTGTAACAGACATACTTGCTGACAGGTATTTTGAAATAAATTACCAAAATAATTGAAACTGGAGTGATTTATATGGTGTTATTTTGACAAATAAAATATGCAGAATTTTGCAAATTTTAAAATAGTGTGTGCAGAATTCCCCCAGGAGTAAAACTAGGTCTTGTGTATGAAATTTTCCCAATTTTTTTCAAAGCTAGGATAATTTTTCAGGTCTCCTTCCACTACCCCATGCAAGAGAAATATACAATATACACTCACAAAAATGTTCAGCCCAGGAAATACCATTTAAAAAAAAACCTAATTGAAAACAAGAAGACATGCTTCTTCCACAAGGACACAATAAAAAATACAGAAAGAACATGAACTGAGATGGGCAGTTTAAGAAATTGGTGACTGCACAGCAAGAAACATGGACCCTTTAAAGACTATTATAAACAAATCTGAATAAAATTCTGGAAAACCCTGTTTACAAATGCATGTTGCAGTACCACTTTTTGAACTGTATTAAAACTATTATTTGTGGCATTTTCCTATATCATCTCTAGAAACTAAAGCTTAATGCCAGAGTTTAACAATCAAGCAGCAGCTGAAAGAAGTAATCTTACAAGGCAACAGGTCATATGGGGCTGTGAATAAACATTAAGAGACCTACCTTTTCTCTGGGATCTTGACATAAATCTACACTAAGTCTGCTAATTTTCTGCTGTCTCCTTTAGGTATCAAAGAGTAATTTAAGTGTTTTAAACTGAGTAATTGTAACACATTTTGTGAGAAGGCTCAGCAATTTTCCTTTTGTAAAATATTACCATTTCTGGGCAGAAGGTTAAAATAAATATTATGAAACAGGCCAGTCTATTTATTTTTATCTAGTATAAATACACCCATCAGTAAATATCTGGGTGCCTGTACAAAGCCAAACACAAATGTTATTACCAAAGCTACATAAAATGCACTCGCTACCAAAAAAACAGAGTATAAACACACCCTACCGTCCCTTCAGGCAAGGCTAAGTAAACAGATGAGCTTTGCACTGTGTCCTGAAGGGCAACAGACAGGCTGTGTCAGAACAACGGGAAAGCTAATTCAGTGGTGGGTTCTCAATACTAGAAAGCAGTCTGGGAGCAGGTCCCAGACATTCCACTCTGAGATCTCCTGGCAGGAGAGCATCAGATGATCTCAGCTGCCACAGTGGTGCACAGGGAGGAAGAAAAGGGACAAAAGGATTATGTACAAATGATGGAGCAGGGAACCAACCAAGAGTCAGGGCTCCTGGGTTTTTTTCCAGTGCTATCCCTTACATATGGCCACACAGCAGGAAAGTAAGAAACAGCAAAATGAATCTGTAGGGTGACCAGATAGCAACTGTGAAAAAACAGGACATGGGGTTGGGATAATAGGCGCCTATATAAGAAAAAGTCCCCCAAAATGGGACTGTCCCTTTAAAAACGGGACATCTGGTCACCCTATGAATTTGTTTATCCACATATAAAATGGGTATAATACTTAATGACGGTACCTAAGGTGGCCTAGTCTTTGGATAGTGCATGAAAAGCAACACATACTCAAGGTGCAGAGGATTTATTATTAGGTAGGACACAATAAATGCAGAGGTCTGAGTGGGCGTATACAGACATACCACTGGTTTCAGAATAGCAATACAGGTGACTGGTAACTACAGAGTAGTTTCATTACACTATAATTGGAATGCAACAGTGATTTTCCTTTCCAGTATGTAATTACTGCCTGTTCTTATAAGTGGAGCATTAACTAGATGACTACATTACTTATTATTCCTCTAGTGGGGTTCTTGTTTTGATAGTGATTTTAAAACTGATAAGAGTTGGTCACTTTATTGTTTCTTATAAATCAATTATGTTTCATTCTCTTGATCAGCTACACTGCAAGGAAACAAACTGGTGAGTTATTTAACAATCAAGTACCTCCGTGTTTAGTCATC